CGCGGGGCGCCGGGTCGCAGGGAAGCCCCGCCTGGCGAGAGTCCCGCTTCCCCTGGATTCCCGGGGGCTCCCCGACTAGCCGGCCGGCTTCCCCTCACTTTGTTCCGGCTTCTTCGCTTCGCTTGGCGCCCAGGCTCCGGCTGCCCGAATCACGGCGAAGCAGCCCCCCGAATGGGGGGGGAGGGAGGAGGAAAGGGGCCACCCGATGGAGGGCGGGGGTCCGGGGAGGGGAGCCCCCTCTTCCCTCGGCGCAGCTGGAGCACGATCTAAGGGGTCAGCATCGTCCCGGCTCTGCGCCAGAGGCGGCGGGGGGAGGGGGAGGGGAGGAGGGATCTCTTTGGGGGTGGGTTTGGAGGGGGTGGGGGCCGGCTCCTTCCTCCGCCGGGCGGCGGGCTAGAGGACCGGGAGGGGCGGGGAGACCGTGGGGGGCCGTCTCGAGGGGGGGGCTGGAGGCGGAGATGTCGCCGCCGCCGCCGCCGCCGCTGTGGCTGCCGTTGCCGTAGCTGTCGCCGGCGCCACTGCCTCCTCCTCCGGCCGAGATGCGGAGCGGGCGAGCGAGCAAGCGAGCGAGCGAGCGAGCGAAAGCGGCTGCGAGGAGCCCGGCGCACACCACAGCTGGATCCTTCACTCCAACTTCAAGCCTCGGCCCCGCCTCTCCCCAGCCAACCCCGCAGCCAATCGCAGTGAGTCACCGGTCCGGAGCCGCCCTTCGATTGGTCGGCTGCCGTGCCAGTGCGGGAGGGGGTGCCGGGGAAGAGAACCACAGCTGGATTCCTCTTCCCACCCCAAAATCCGGACCGCCTTTCTACCCTCCTCTTGCCCCTGGGTTCGCTCCCAAAGGCTGGGGCCAATCACACAGCTGCCCAGACCGAACCCACTTTTCTATTGGCCTCTGGGGTCTTTGGGATTCCCCTGGAGGGAGCCTCGAGAAATGGAGAGTGTTTGGCCTCCAGTCTTGGGGTGGTCCTACGGGTCTTTGACCTCTTTTATCCAGGGTGACGCCTCCACTCCCCCGAATTGGACATCAGCCAAAAGGCAGAACTTAGCTCTAAGCAGGGCTAGAAAAGAAGGGACACTGGAGTCTCAGGAGTTAGGAGCGTTACTGGGGTCCCCCCCCCCAGCGAAAACCGACTCCCCAGGAACCTGGGAGCCAGGCTGGGGAAACGGAGGAAGAGCGGAAGGTCTGGTGTTTCAGGGGCTGTTTAGGGAAAATGGGCGGAGACGGGAAGGTGAAGGTGGGCGTGGTCTGGGAGTGTTCTCCACCAGCCAGACCCCAGGTCTGGTCCAGACCCCAGGTCCACTTCTAAGAGAATTGACCGACCCTGGCCTTCTCACTGATGCCCTGAGCATCCTCTCCGGCTTCTAGAGATCTCTGAAGGATGGAGACTCCTCTCAGGGGGGAAAGCGTAGCCTCTAGGAGTGCCACCGGATGGGACAGCCTGCGTCACCTGCAGCCCCGAAGTGGGGACATTCACCGAAGGCCACTGTGGGCCTTGAGTGTTGTGGGAGGGAATGGCACCTAGCGCTAAGCTTTACCAGCTTCTTCCTGCAAAGCTCCACTCCGTGCCTCAGTTTCTCCCCTCGACTCTCAATACGCCTTAAGGGAAGTATCTATCCTGCTTCGGGGAGCTGCTCTCCTCCACCAAGGTACTGGAAGTGGTGCTTGCGCTTGTGTTTTTCTCTGGCGAGTACACGCAAACGGAGACCCCGGCTTTTGCCCCGCCTCCTATCCCTGTGTTCGAGGGGCTCGCTCAGACCGTTCTGGCTCCCTCCCACCGCCGGTGCCTCCAAAAGCCTGTGAGTGCAGGAGAACCAAGCACCACTGGAGTTCCTAACGTGGGGGGGGGGGGAGGGGAGAGGCGTTGATGTTACACGCAGGGGGAAATGTCTCCACAATCTGCGTAGGGTGTATACGATGGAACGACAGGATCTGTAGTCCTGGTAGACTCGGGAACGCACAAGGCACTGCGGAAACGCTGAGGAATGGACCGGATCGCCTCCTGCTGCCCCTGATTCCCACCCACACATCCTCCAGAGGCCTCCTGGCACCACGACATAGGTCTGGGGCCATCTCGGCTCCCATTCCAGCCAGTTGCCAAGATGGGGTGAAGAGGGCAGAGCCGCCGCTGCGCTGTCACCTTCCTGGTTGCCCTTTCGACAAAAATCCCAGCACTGAGTTGTGCAAATGAGGCCAGGCCTATTTGCATTTCATGCTAATGAGCAGATCCCCTAAGAGCCTGTTTTCTCCTGGAGGGAGTCTCTGCTCTCATTCCGAGTGTGAGGTACCAATCTTGAACTCGGGGCCCTCTTCTGGGAGAGGGGAGCTATTTATGGTTTGCCCTTAGAATCTGACATCTTCCTGCCCTCCCGCGGGTCCTCAGTCTAGCAGGTGGGCTTCCCGTTCTGACCACCCTAGACTTAAAACCCTAGACTTGGCAGCCAGACTCTCCTTACCCAGTCTCTGAAGCAGGAAACGGGTGTATGAGGCCAGAGGCTTTGCAGAGCCCCTCAGTTCTCCAGTGGTCAGAGGCTCCACATCATCACCCGCCTGCCCTGTTAGGGAACATAGCAAGAAAACAGACACACACGTGGGCACCTGCTGGAGAAACTGAGACCTGCTTCCCTGGGTTGGCAACCTGGGGCAGATCTGCCATCTAGGACAACCTAAGGCGTCAGGGGAACTTATCTGCTACCTGCGTCAGGGAAGGGAGGAGAAGGCAAGAGAAGCTAGGAAGCCTTCATTCCAGCGCTCCAAGTCTCGGCTCTAGCACCCATCCCTTCTTTCTGGAAGTCTTTAGCATGGTGGCCTTTCAGCACTGAAGTGCTGAAAACAGTACTGAACCAGTCAAAGATGGAAACCTCACAGCATGAAGCCTGCACAGGCATGATGAGTTCAGAGTTCTCTCTGCTCCTAGGCTGTGCACTTAGCGAAGTGGGGTTTTTTTGGTTTTGTTTTTGTTTTTTATGATCTCAGACAAGAAAGTAGAAGAGGAACAAAACCCTCCTTCAGTTTCCCTATATGATCCAAACACTTCTGAGTTTTAAGTTTACTATAGTATTTCGTACACGTGCCTTGCTTAGCAAGCCCCTGTAACCTTCTGGCCTTTGCCTCTGCCCTGGGGCCTACTGGCTCCCTTAAGAACAAGATAAATCTGGGTTACTCTTTGCTCAGGGATGCTGCAATCATCCCATTTGATCTCCCCCACGTCTCTGGGAACTTAGCGGAACCGCCATTCCTCAGTTAAAGAATCCGGCACTCAGGGAAATGAAATGACGACTCCCAAAGCATGAGGTCCTGTGTGTTGACACGCTAGGTCACAGCCACCCCCAATACAGTCCTGCTCACAGGAGAGGGGACATGGAGGAGGAATGTAAATGGCACTCGCCAAGAGGAAGAGATGTGGGACTTTTAAATCAGCTCCACATCCAGTATGGGTGATGTTCAGCTTGTACGCTAGAAAGCCTAGCCTTCTTGGAAGAAGTAATTCCTTCCTCTGAATCTATTTACAAGATGCCATTGCCCTGTGCCTGCCTGATAGCAGAAGGGAAATGAGAGATGCAAAAGGCAGGCAGGGCGGAGGGAAAACACCAAACGTGCTCTTCTTCATAGCCATGCTTCCACCTCCTGGCAGGAAGCCGCTTTCAGCGATTTTTGTTGTTATTCTGGAGACCCTGGGGAGAATCTGGTGTGCTCAGAGGTGTCAGGCTAGACTCTACCAACTCTGGCCCTCCAACAGCTATCCCTAGATGACTAAGGCTTCAAAGTCTCAATCATGAGGGTCAATGGGACCACAGTGGCAAGAGGGCTTTGTGAACTGCCCAGACTGTTCCAAATCCGGGGCCAGGTTGCCAAAAAGGCCACCTGTGTCTCACCATGTTGCACCCTCCCTTCCTGCTGCCCTCCAGCCAGGCTCCACGTGTCCAGTCTTTGACTTTCTGGCGAGCTGAGTGGGCTCCAGCAAGAAAGGGGCCAACTGACCTCATTGGCCAGAGTGCTAATCCCCTCCAGATGGGTTGGTGGCTTGCACTAAGGGCCCGCTGCCCAGACTGAGACAACTGTGGTCCCAGGGTAGCTGTGTATGTGTGACACTGTCCTGTGTCTCTACGTTCTTTCCTGCCCCATTCCTTTCTGCTGCTGACATCCCCCTAGCAGGGCCCTCCCCCTTCCCATCCAGTCCTCTTTGCCGGTCTGGCAGTTTCCTCCAGCTATCTATGCCCTTTGACTTGGAGGCGAGAACGATGCTCAAGCTCAGTCGACCTCAGTTTCTACACAACCTCACAACCCTATTGCTCTATACCTGTCCATCCCTAGTATGTCTTCCGGCTGCCTTTTCCTGATGCTGATGACAGCTCTGTGGGGTCTTCTGTGAAGATCCATTTGCCAAAGATGGGGTTTAAGAGCATCTCCTAACACTGAGAGGACAGGAGGAGGTCCCAGGAAGGTGCCAGCTTCCTCTGGAGCAGGAGTCAGATGGATTTGGGAAGGGCGTCCAGCACAACAGTTGCTTCACATGCAAAGGAGACCTTTTCCAGACCATCCTTCAGGAAGAGGAGGAGCATGACCTCCTATAGTGATGCTGGAATTGGATGCATACCTCCCCCCAAATGTCTTAGACCTGGTACCAAGCAGTTTCCACAGTATGCTGCATGGAAATGTCTTACTGTTAGTATTAAAGTTTATACTTAGTCCCCCTGTCCCTTCCCTAACTTTAAATGAAAAGACAAGAAGGAAGAGGCAGAACACCTCCTAGCAGGGAGGTTACCCTTCCTGAGCTAGTACACACCTCGTCCTTGCCCTATACTTGGTTTTGGTTCACTGCCTCTGTTTCATTCAAGCTTGCTAATTGTGGAGAGAGGCAAGATCGGTTCAGTGACCCACGGAAGGTGATGAGGCAATGAGAGAAGACAAAGGAGTCATCGGGGGACTCTCAGAGGAAAGGCTGGTCCCAGACTGCTAGAGCCAAGGGCCCACCCTCACAAGAGAGACCAAGGCCCCGAGGTCACCACGGGACGCTGTTAGGTTTATTTCATGAGTAGGTGCCCATGGGGGAGCCTCAAGGATAGATGTGACCACTTGGTGGTAGAATTCCCAGGGGTGGCTGTAGGTTCAGCAGAGCCTTGAAAGACCTGAGTCTCTAGTCAGCTGGAAAATTTCGTCTTCTGGCCCAGCTGAAAGGTTTCTGGGCAGTCATTAGTGTAGCAGCTTTCGTAGTTCACAGGGCTCCGTGATAGGCATGGAGCAGGCTTGGTTCTCAAATATGTAAGCTGTAGCCCGGTCCTCTACTCGTCGGAGGGTGCTCAAGAAGGGAAGCTGCCGGGACAGGAAGCTCGATGGGTCTCCATCAGCCAGAATCAGCACCTGGGGTAGCAGCAGAACGGAAAGTGAACCTCCAAAAGGAAGGATGTCAGGAGCCGAGTGGGGAGATGCAATGAGGGAGGTAGACCGTGAAGCAAGTTTGTAGGGTTGCGCACCTTGTTAGGAATGTAGATGGAGTGGACGCACTGCAGCAGGGCCTTGGTGTCCTTGGCCTGGGGGTCTCCACAGATCACAATCTGACCAGTACAGAAAAACCATCCAGTGTCAATAAGGGAGAAGAAGCTAGGCCCCAAACCTGCCAGGGCTACCCCAGCCTTCCTCCACCTTCCCAGTATTCCTAAGAAGGGAGGGGACTCACCCTGGGCACCAGGAGGATTCGTTAGATTTAATGCTCAGCAAGCAGAAACACACACACACACACACACACACACATGCACACACACACACACACAAATGCACACAAGTGACAATGTAATACATTGTGGTAGACATACAAATAGAGGGCGGGGGTGTCCAGAAGACTTGCCACGCTGGATGACACACCACACAGAGAGAGACATAGAGTAGTTACATACACATACATAGAAACACATACAAACATACACTCATACAGGCACACACAAGTATTCACAGGCAAACCTGAGGCAAAGACTGACCCTCGCCAGCACACAAACCAGTAAACAGTGTGTGTGTGTGTGTGTGTGTGTGTACACAAAAGAGTTGACATAGCAGTCAAAAGCGCATAGGGACCGAAATAATCAGACTGAGATACAGAACCTTTCAGAGAAACCCTTCACCAGCCACCCGACCACCAGGAACCCATATTTAACCCCTTTCATTTTGCCTTTATATTCACACATCCCAGTGACAAGCCTTCATAGGCTGTCTCCTCTGACATCACCCCCCCCCCCCCCCCGCGCGCGCACACACGCACACACGCAGACACCTCCACCCACAGAATGAAGTCCCCTGACCTCACAAGTACCTGCACACATGTAAAGTGAGCTTTGGGGACACATACTCTGTTCCATCACCAGCTTCCCTCCTGGTCTCAGTCCACATATGAACCACCTCCCTACCTGCTTAAGAGACTCCTGTTGGGCTGAGAGGGCACGGACCATCTCAGGCAATGCCACCGGGACGCGGCGCATGCGCTCGGAGAAGGCCGTCAACAGGTGCACACACTTGTCCATCCAGTCCTTGTGGCCAGTGAAGCCGTGTAACCGAAGCAGGTTGTGGGCAGACACGGAGTTGGCACTGGGCTCTGCACCATCCTGGTCTACAAGAGATGGGAGGTAGTTGAAGGGGGATGGCCGCTGGGATTCAGGACCAGGCCCTGAGACGGAACATGGGTTATGGGGTCCAGGGAGAAGATGAGGAAGTACATGTGTTTCTGGTCTGGTTTTGTTTGTTTGTTTGTTTGTTTGTTTAAATAACAAACCTTTCTATCCTGCTGAGCTGTGGGTATCCAGGTTCCCGACCTCACTGCTGATGCCTTTGTCCAGATACCGACTGCTGGGGTCACGGGGCCATCACCCAACTCCCTCACCTCTTGGATTAATCTTTCTGCACATCCTGCTGGACTGCTTCCCAGTCCTTCCCTGTCCCCCATCTCACACGCTACCCCTGGCTGCTTTCAGCGGTACCTCCAAGACTAAGCACCAGGGTCCTCTTAATGGGTCACCCCGATTTCCATGTTCCTATTTGTCGCTACCATGGTTGGAGTGACCTCTTTCCACTCAAGGCAGAGCAGATCAGAACCCTCTTAGCCTGCCTGCGCCCCTCACTTCCTTACCCCAGCAACAGCACTCCCTTCTCACACCACTCCTGGTCTCTTTGTCTTCCAGCCCCCGGCCTGTCCTCCCAGGCTCTCTCAGACTGTCATCCTCTGCCTAAACTCCCTCCTAAGTGCCTCCATGACCACCCAGCTCCTCTTGGTTGACACCTGTCATGGGTTTACCATAATCTCAGTGTTCTGGTGGGGTTGCGTTTTGCACTATCTCCACCACAGGATGCGAACTTCCTGCAGGCAGAGACCAACTCATTCCTGTCTAACCAATTAATCTGGGGATTCCAGAGGCCGCTGCACGTTCAGAGGAAAGCTAGAATAACCCCTCCTCAATTCTGAGGAGCTACCGCTAATAGCTCCTCATCTGTATGGTAAGAAGCAGGCTCAGAAATATCAGGAGACCACCAAAGTCACATAGAATTAGAGACAGGAAGCCAGGTTTTTAGTGCAAAACTACACAAATGTCCTCCCCGGGAATGCCCTACCCCGATTGGACTCAGGACCCAAGGCCAGCCCAGAGCTGCACTGACCATCCTTCAGACGTAGAGGCAGGCCTGACCCCAGTTCAGCCTCGCTGCAGAAGTAGCCGCCACCTCGGGAGTCCCAGAAGAGCTTGTCCTGTGTGTCCTGCAGACGCAGAGCCCACTCAAGCCAGGAGCTCTCCTGTGAGGCCTCGTACAGGTCCAGCAGGCCCCGCACCACGAAGGCATAGTCTTCCAGAAAGCCCCAGCAGGGTGGGTTGCTAGGGGTACAGGAGAGAAGGAAGTCTGAGGGCAGGCCCGAAAGGCAGAGAGGAAACCTCTTGTGCTTTGTTTTCAGTTCGTTCTCAACATCCACCTCTCCCTGTGGCTACGAGTTAGCCCATTTCCCAAGAGTAGACGGGCCCAGGAGAGTTGAGTGTGTGCAGTGGGCACATGGCAAGGTGAATGATCAGTCAGTTGATTGAAGGGGGAGAACAGGGCTGGTATCACGCAAGGAGATGGCCTTTGTTGTGCTTAGCACCCTCACCTGTGCTCCACCGTTCCCCCGGGACCAGCATAGCATGTCCGCTTCAGGCGGCCACTGGCCACATCAAACATGTGCCGCTTGAGGAATTTGGCACCGTTGGTTGCCTGAGTGACCAACTTATCCATGCCCAGGATAGCCCCCGTCACAGCAAAGCCAGACACCATCAGGCCTAGAGGAAACAAGAGGCCAGAGGTGGTAAGAGGCCAACGAGAGCTCCCCTGGGACACGCACCCTACCCCCGAGGCTCCAAGTGCCAAGCCCAGGCAGATCACTTCCAACTCTCCACGCCTCCACGCCTCTGTTCATTTCTAAATAAAAATAAAGAAGCCTGTAAGGAAAGAATAAAGGGCTTGGCAAATAGGATCAGGGTTCAGAGAGGGTTGCCCCACCGTTCCAGGCAGCCAACATCTTGTTATCCAGGTGGGCTTTCGGCCGACGTTTCCGGGCCTGGAAGAGCTTCTCAAGCCCCGCGCTGAGCAACGTGCTCACAGCCTCCACATCCAGGCCAAAGCGGGCTGCAGTCAGCTCCAGTGAATACCGCACCGTCAGAACGTTCTGGCCTTGCAGCTCCGGCTTGGGGTCCTGAGGAAAACCAGGACCTTAGTGAGCTGGAGCCTATGGACTTTGGTGGGCCTTGGGGTCCTTCTCTTGTGTCCCCGGAAGTTCTCACCTGAGAGGAGTTGATATTGCCTGCTTCGGTGAGTCCATAATGCTTCATCAGGAGCTGGCCCGAGGTCAGCGGCTCACTGGCGCCTACCACAGGCTCTGGAAGTAGCTGTTGGACCTCTTTGACCGTCCACAAATAGAAAGCACCCTCTTTGGGCTTCACGCCCCGCTCTGGGGGAGAATCTGCGTCCTCTGCACTGTAGAAGCCTCCAGACTGTGGGGACAGGAGAGTTGGCTGGTCACCATCTTGGAAGACAAGCCATCCATAAAACCTTCCTGCAGCCAGGTCTGCCTGCCTCAGTGGACACATACCCGATGGCTCAGACTCCGGGTCACATACTGCAGGATGCCTTTGGCAACATCGGAGTAGAATTCATCACCGGAGATCTGTGGAGGACGAAGACCATAAATAGAGGTCACGGGGGGGTGGGGAAGTTCAGGTTCATGGGGGATATTCTCCCCCAGGAAAGTGAGGGGTGGGGGAGTCCAGGCATCTAGGGTGTGAGAAGGAACTGGCCGTTGAAATTAAAGAGGAAGCCACAGTCACCTGGGAGGCCTTGGGACTGGGTTATGGTTGAGGTAGGGGCGAAAGTCACCTGGAAGGCGTAGGCATAGACCACAGATAGCTGGGCCTGGTCGTACAGCATCTTCTCAAAGTGGGGGATGTACCACTGGCGGTCCGTGGAGTAACGGTGAAAGCCCTGTGCCAGGAAGGGTGTAGAGTTAGACAGATCCCAGCCTCTCTTACCAGTCCTGCTGCCCCTCCAGGAAACCTGGCCCGCCCTCACCTGCCCAACATGATCCTGGATGCCCCCATTGGCCATCATTTTCAGGGTGTGCAAGGCCATATGCTGAGCCCGGGGGCCATCCTGGGTGAGCCGGTGACTGAGCCAATAGGAGAACAGGAAGCTGAGGATCACTGTGGATGAGGAAAAAGAGAGTGAGAGAGCCAGGCAGTCTCCCGGCAGTCAGTCTCTGTTAGGCTGGAGGATAGGGACTTCTATTATACACTCAGAGGGCACAGGAAATTGCCCAAGTCAGAGGTCAAAATATCAGCGGCCCATAGGGGACCAGAAAGGTACAGCCGGCCACACAAGACAGGCTGGCGTGACTGGGTCACTTAACTAAGTCAGACCACTATATAGGTCGGGGTCAGAGGATACTGACCAGGGGTGGGAAACTTGGGGGCCTCAGCAAAACCGCCGTACTCCTCATCATAGCCCTCGTCCAGTTGCTGGAAGCAGCGGCTGTTCATGGTAGCAGCAGAGAGCGGCATCTGCCGATCTCCCACGCTGATCTCAGACCGGGCCAGCAGGGCCGTGGTAACGCGCTGGCTGTTTTCCAGTAGGGTGTTCTTGTTCTGTTTCCACTACAAGGGGCAGGCACACTCCTGCAGGTCAGTAGGCGCTGGGGCCAGAGGCCGGGGGGGGGGGGGAATCCCTGCGATTCCCTCAGCCTGGACTCCCGAATCCTCCCCTCCCCCACCCCCTAGCTACCCACCCACCTGCTCACGGATTCTCATCAACACTGTTCGGAAGCCAACTCGAGTCAGACCATCCTCTGGTGGGAAATAGGTGCCCCCGACGAACGGCTGGAGGTTGGGGGTCAGCCACACATTCATGGGCCAACCCCCTCCGCTGCTGGTGGCCTGAAAGAGGGAGGGGCCGAGGTCAGGGGAGCTGCCGTGCCCTGGCATTGTCAGGACTGCCACAGGAGATGGCTCACCTGTACAAAGGTCATGTATACTTTGTCCACATCTGGCCTCTCCTCTCGGTCCACCTTCACACTCACAAAATCCTCGTTGAGCAGACGCCCTATCTCTTCATTCTGGAAGGACTCCTCCTCCATCATATGACACCAGTGACAGGTGGAATACCCCACTAGGATGGGAAAGGCGGAAGAGGGCAGAAAGAGGTCCCTGGGACCCGGAGGCCCCTCCCCCAACCCTCTGTCTATCACTGAACCCCACTCTGGGAAAGGTGGTTTGGGATACCTGAGAGAAAAATTGGCTTGTTTTCTTTCTTGGCTTTGTCGAAGGCTTCCTGTCCCCAGGGGTACCTAGACCCCAAGAGGAGGAGATGTCACTCGGTAGCCTAGGGAGTTCTCGGAGGAACCGCGGGAGGCTGGCGGCTTCGAGGGCAGCCCTGGGACGGTACTCACCAATCCACCGGGTTGTGGGCATGTTGCAAGAGGTAGGGCGACTTCTCATTGATCAGGCGGTTGGGGGGCTTCTGAGGTGCAGGCGGAGCACAGGTGTTCCGGTTGGCCTTTCCTCCCGCGGGCATGGGTGCTGAATTACTGACGGCGGCACTCCGGGATAGGTCCTTATCCCGAGAGGAGCTGCCCCTGCTGGGTGGAGAGGGCTCGCACAAATGGGGGCCGCCCCTCGCTGGCCCGCCCCAGCCGTCTCCGAGCCCGCCCAGCCTCAAGGACTCCCACTCCCAGCTCAGCTCACCTTTCTGAACCACGGGGGAGACCGTGGCCTTTGTGCTCCCCCTTATGTTTTGGGGGTGGTGAGGTATGGTGACTCATTGGGGGCTCCCTGCCAGGTAGTCTCCCCCCAGCTTCTCAGACCTGGCGGTAGGAAGAGTATCTTGTGAGGTCAGGGTGGGTCACAATGAGTAGAATGCTCCGTTCAGCTCCATTCTATCGCCCGGGGAGGGCCCCTCCCTGGGCTGGTTGCACTGCAGGCATGGGGTGTGGGGGGGGTGTGACCAGTGTGGCTAGGCATGGGAATGGCTTACAGCCAGTGTCTAGACAGTTTAAGAGGAGCTGGGTCAGGGCCAGGGCCAGGTGAGGGACCACCAGGAGGGGGAGGCAGGGACTACTTAGCCAAGAGCCCAATACAGAGGGTATAAAGTACTCTGTAGGACCAGGTCTTGGGCTACGCACAGAGAGAACAGAGCATCAGATAGGCCTGTCTCAGGGACTTCAGCCTGAGAGAGTGGTCCTTGGAACACAGCTAAATAATAATAGGTCAGCTCAGTAACACAAACCTGTGACAGGATGCAGGGTGCTTCGGGAGAAGGGTCTGTGAACAGCACAGCGTTCTAGAAAGGCTCCCTGGGGATGGTGTGAAGGTAGTCCAAGAGCTAGCCTGAGCTATCCCAGCAGCTGATAAGATGGGAGGGGAAGAAAGGGAGCCTTCCTGCTGGAACCAAGGAGCGGCCAGTGGTATTGGGGAGAGTCAGACACGCAGGGGGATCCAAACAGACATCGTAGACTGGTGCCTGAGAGACAGATGGAGGGCCCCACCGGCGCAAGGCCTATTGAAGTGATTTGCTTGTAACTGTGGCTAGCAGTGAGGCCCAGCCCCACGCAAGGCGACCCGAGGCTGGAGCCCAGTCAGGCTCACCTTCCCAGTATGGCTGCTCCGGTCCTGCAAGAGGCGGACCCAGAGCCCGGTTGTTGCCAAATCACGGGCCCTGTGGCTGGTCTCCGAGCGCCTCCCGGCGGTAGAGCTTAGAAATACAGACCTGCGGTGCTAAAAAAAAAAAAAAAAAAAAAAATCCAACCGCACCTAAAATGGGAGTGATATGAACTGCGTTCGATGTCAAGTGCTGGCGGGAAGAAGCGCACTCGCCCTTCAGGCGGCATGAGAGCTCAGAATATCCGATCATTTTGCTTAGCTCTCGCCCCCTTTACAAGTGAGAGATGAGGCACAAGCCGATGGATTTGCTCGGCTAGCAAAATTTGCTTGATTCAGCCAGTCCATCCCCAGTTCCTGCTCAGAGCCCACCCACTCCAGGAAGCCTTCCCTGAATGATGACGCTGAGCCAGTGTGTCCTATTGCATATTGCTCCATTCACTTGTTTCATTCACATTCATTGGCATTCAGCCAAAGCCAAGTGTGCACTGCTGTCTACTAAGCCAGGCACTGGACACCACTGTGCCCCTCCCTACCTTTTATTCCTAGACTGTAGCTAGTGAATATTCAGCCACACACTGTGAATAGTACCAGTGAGTGGGTATAATTTAGCAAGACACTTGATCCAGTAGATGGGTCAAGGAAGAAAGTTCTGCTGAGCAAACTCTACATGTGCAGTAGCTGTGAAGAATGACAGAGATGGGGCTGGAGAGATGGATCAGCTATTGAGAGCGCTGGCTACTCCTCGAGAGGTCCTGAGTTCAATTCCCAGCAACCACATGGTGGCTCATAACCATCCATAACGAGATCTGGCGCCCTCTTCTGGCATGGAGGTTTACACGCAGATAGAGCACTCACATACATTTAATAATATATATTAAAAAAAAAAAAAAGAATGACAAAGAATACGCAGGAAGTGAGTCAAGTATCAGAGGATCGAAAAGAGTGTGCAAAGGTCCCACGGCTTGTGGGGGAGCTGGGACTGAAGAACAGTAGGAGGCTAGCATGGCTGGAGGGCAGAGACTAAAAAGAGAGATAATGGTTGGGGATAGGAGCGGGCTTAGGTTTCTATTGCTGTGATGAAACACCATGACCAAAAGCAACTTGGGGAGGAAAGAGTTTATTTCGTCTTATACTTCTGTATCACAGCCCGTCTTCAAAGGCAGGAATCTGGAGGCAGGACCTGAATCAGGAGCCACAGGAGAATGCTGCTTACCCGGCTTGCTCTCCGTGACTTGCTCAGCCTGCATTCTTAGAGCACCCAGGGGTGAGCTGGGCCCTCAAACATCAAACATCAATCAAAAAGGGCACCGAGGGCTTGTCCACAAGTCAACATTGCTGGGGGCATATTTTCTCAGTTGAGGACCCTGCTTCCAAAAATCACTCTAGCTTGTGTCAAGTTGTCATGAAACTAGCCAGCATGGGAGGTTAAGGAAAGTGGGCAGGACTATGTCTGGAGCAGAGGTGTCCTCTGAGAAGGGGGCATTGCTGGGGGACAGAATCCAGGGCCTTGTACATGCTACACACACGCTCTAGTAAGGAGCCTCATCTTCAGCAGACAAAAGGGGATTCTGGTGATACAAGAAGAAAACTTCTGAAGGGCTTTATAAAAATAAATATTTATGGCTTTTTTTTTTTTTTTCTGAGACAGGGTTTCTCTGTGTAGCCCTGGGTATCACGCAGCTGTAGACCAGGCTGACCTCGAACCTACAGAGCCACCTGCCTCTGCCTCCCGAGCGAGTGTTGAAGCAGAGGTGTGCACCACCACCACCCAGCCCTTGTTTATGAGAGCTTTAATCAGGAGAGAAGCCCCTTAGGTCTGCATTTTGCAAAGCTCCACCAGTTCTCTCTAATAGGAAGCACACTGGAAAGGGAAAAGCGTGGAAGCCCGGGTAAAGAGGTCATGGCGGCAGCCGGGGAGACAGGCCACCTGCTGGAATGTGGGGTTAAAGCTGCAGAAGAAGGGGGAGACTTTGACAAAGGGGGTTGTCTACGTCCACACAAAGCCTCGCTCCGGAGAGTACAGGCTGTAGGAGGTCAAAAGGTCATTTTTGGAACTATCGGTCTGACTACCTTTCGAGATGCAAATGTAGAATGGTAGAATGGAGGTGGCAAGGCTTGATGAACAGAAGGGAGGCTGTTGGGAGAGGGGAAAAGATTTTCTATGTAGGGAACTATGGGGCAATGGCATATTGGAAGCAGAGAGCTCAGGCCCAGACACCTTGAATCTTGGTGTCTGCGGACTGACAAGCAGGTCACATGCATAAATTCAGAGAGGGTAGCATTATAGTAGCAGAGCCACAGAGAACTTAAGAGCAGTTATGCGTGGGAACATACACCTCAGGGCTTAGGAAGCTAAGGGAGACGATGAGGCTGGAAGCTGAGACTAAAGAAGCATAAGTTCAAGGCCAACCTGAGCTGCAAAGAAAGACCTTGTCTTAAAGGGGAGGGGGGCAGTGAAGAGGGATGGCTCAGACCATAAAAGTGCCTGCTTCATGAATGTGAGGACCTGAGTCCCCTCCCCACAACCAACCTAGAAAAAATAAAAACAATGGCATAATCTCAGCAATGCTGAGGTGGGAGATAGAGCTAGACAGATGCCTGGAGTTCACTGGCCTTCTAGCCTGGTCCAATTAACAAAGTCCCTGGCCATTAAGACACCCTGTCTTGGGCTAGAGAGATGGCGTGATGGTTGAGAGCTGACCGTTCTTCCAGAGGACCCCGGTCCAGTTCCCTGCACCTACATGGTGGCTCACAACTGTCTGTAACTCATGCATGTGGTTCACAGACTTGTGCAGGCAAAACACCAATACACATAAAATAAATTTATAAAAGACCAAAAAGAAAGAAAACCCTGTCTCAAAATGTGGGAGGTATCTGAGGAATGACATCTGAAATTGTCCTCTGACCTCCACCCACATACAGGTACACACAGACACACACACCACAGAACAGAATAAAGTGCATACAGAGAAGACAAATGTCCTCCGCCTTTAGTAAGCTGGACCCTTAACTGTTGAGTGTTGTCCTAATGACAACATCAGGCTGAGAGCAGGCAGCCCACCAACTAGAAAAGGGAAAGAGGAAAACGGGTTTGATTTCAAGAGGGATGAAGCCAAGGAGGCCGTGTAGTGGTGGGCAGGATCTGGATGGAAGAAATAGATTTGAAGGGTCTAGAGAGATGGGGTTCCTGACACTGAGTCTGAGTCTGAGGGCAACAGGCTTTGGGGTCGGGTGTGCCCTGTAAGATATGCCCCAGGGCCAGGAGAGCAGTAACCAAGGGAAAAGAAGAGCCCTGTCATGAGTGCCAAGGATTTGACATGATGGCAGCAGCATGGATGAGGATGGATGAAAGGTCTGGGATCAGGGAGGTAATAAGGAACTGGGTGAGAGCTGAGCCATGAGGAAAGCATGCTGGGAATGGGGAGTGGTTACCCCAGACAGGGCAGAGCAGAGTTCCAGCCTTGGGGAGGAAGGTAAGCCTCATAGCTTCAGGAAGCAAGGCCACCAACCTGTTCTTCAGGGCTCAGGGGAGGAGGGGCAGAGGTACTGGGGCAGCAAAAACCATTGGCCCTTCTGAGTTTGGGTGGGGCAGAAGGCAGAGAGGGATGAATGGTCACTGGCCTGGGAGCATCCGCATAGCAACCCCACAAGGAAGGAACTCTTGCACGTAAGGAAACAGAGGCATAGACACAGAGAGGTGAAGTCATTTACTCAGGAGGGACCAACCACTCATTACCAAGCGATTATCATTAAGTTCAGCTCTGGAGCAGAGTTTGGCAGGCCCAGCTGATGTCTAAGCAGCTGCCCCTGCCCTTCCTACCTGCAGCAGCCTTCTAGCCGTTCTCCCTTCAGACCAGAATGGCTCCTGCTCATATACCCAGGAAGGACAGTGATATTGTGCCACCTTCCCCAACTATGGTGCTTCCGGCTGGTCCACATGCACTCTGTGACCTCCCCTCACCCCAGAGCGAGTAGAGCCAGCACCAGGCTACCTGGAAGCCAGACCCCCGGTCCTGAGCACACATGGGTAACCATGGTAATCCCTAGGACAGAAGGCCAAGTGGCTGCTTATGCCTGTTTTCCTGCAACAGCTCTTGAGAGTGCCAGACCTCGGAGGGTGAAGGGGCAAGGGCAGAACTGGATTTAAGATGAGGAAGTCAGACACAAGAGAACTGGGCTCCTGTGGCTGGCTGGCTGCCTGGCTACGCTGCAGCTATATCCAGTGCTGCTGTGGGTTTGTCTCTCTTGCTGCCCTCCTAGCTCCTGGAAGATGTGGGTTCAGACATCCTGCGTTTCTCCTAGGTGAGTGCAGCATTTTTGCCAAGACAGTCAGTCAATGTTTGCTGAATTAAACCTGAGCCGCCCCAGGGAGCCAGACTGTCTGACTCTGAATCCCAGCCCAATGTTACCTCTAGCTTTGTGACTTTGAACATGTCACAGTACCTCTCGGAGGCTCTGTTGGCTATCAAACAGGAGTAGTAGGCAAGGCCTGTACCACTCACTTGGGAGGGTTAGGCCTTTAGTTTATTGTTCTCCTGCCTTTGTCTTTAAAAAGAAAACGTTGAGCCCCAGGCTGGTCTTGAACTCAGGATCCTCTTGCCTCTGCCTCTTTAAGTGCTGAGATTACAGGTATGTGTCACCATATCCATCAACTGTTTTGAAATTCTTAACCCAGTTTTGGACAGGCAACGCTGCATGTTCAGCTTGGGTAGGGCCCTATGCACTCTGAAGTCCTGAAGAACAGTAACTGCCGAGGCTCCCTGAAATATAATTAAATGAAATTCTCTGCCTAAGGTATATAGCGCACACACCAAAGAATGAACAAATGTTGCCTCCCTTTACTATAGGAGTACCTCATGTGTGATGAAGGAATGCCTGAATGGATGAGCGTGAAGGGAAGGAAGGCACCAGGCCCACAGGAATAGAAATGGGGATTGCAAGAGATAGGAGGGAATTCCGCCTCAGGGGGTAATCGGTGCTGTGGTTCAGACCCGTCTGCCACACCCCTCAAAAAGTCCACTTGGTAAGAGCTGAGGGTGTAGATTCCAGTCTTTATTGGGCGTGTGTAGTATCCGTCCCCAAGATGTGGTCAATCCCTAGCTGGGTTCAAGGGTCCACAGACGCCTGGATCAATGCTCAACCCGCACGTCCGCCCTCGAGGAGGCGGGGCCTCGCGCGCAGGCGCTGATGCGTCTCAGAGGAAGGGATTGGTGCCAGCCTGCGGGGGCAGCGGCCCCACCGGGCCGGACGTGGGCAGCAGCGGCTGAGGCAGGCTCGCGAGCGGCGGCGGCGGCGGGGCGAAGGCTCCCGTTTGCGGGAAGACGCTGACTGAGGCGGGGAGGGTAGCGCCCACCGGCACGCTGCTGAGCGGGAGGGGCAGGGAGGCGCTGTAGGTCATGGAGCCCACGGGCGCCCCGACGGGTCCCCCCGGCGGTAGGCCCAGCGCGGGCGAGCCGGTGCGCATCTGGTTCAGGGTCGGCCTGCCCTGCTCGCCTGCGCCAAACGGGTTAGTGGGGGACGGAGCACCCAGACCTGCGGACGAGAGGATGGAGGATAAGGGCTTTGCAATGGCGGGAGACGGGCGGCCCCGTGGGGTCCCAGACACCAAACCAGGATGTTTTACCTGTCAGGAAGGGGTTCCGGGTCCTTGCAGCCAGCGGTGCCTTGACTAGTGAGTCCAGGTTGACCAAGGAAGAGGCAGAGGGCCCCAGGAAGGACTCAGGAGTCCGGCAGGGCCGCGCTTCCTTTCCTGGCAGCTGCGGTAGTGCCTCCCCTAGCACACCCAGGTCCAGGGCTTCAGGCTCCTTCGTACCATTTTGCTTGTAACTGGGGCTGGGTTCTCCAAACGGGTCTAGCTCTGGAAGAGAGATGGTCAGTTTTAGTAATGGGGGAGGAAGAGGTCAGAGGAGCCCCTGGAGTTCCTCCTAGACCAAGCAGCTGTATCCCCTGGCCTCTTGCTCACCCACAGGACTGGTGGACTTCCCCGTGGGCAGGGCCCGAGCACTGTCCCCTTTCTCCTTGGGTTCTGTGGATTCTAGAGATTTGGCAAATGGGTCGAAGGGTGAGGCACCACCTACAGCTGACCAGGAGAAAAAGGGAAATGGAGTGAGCTAGAAGGGTAAGGATGGGTCAGGGGAAAGTTTTCACCACACACCGTCATTGGTATTGGAGGGAAGGGGGCCCATAAGTCCTCAGCCTCTCACCCGTAATCTCTTCACTTACCAGAGTTGTCAGAGGTCTCCAGAGAGGCCCCCCAAGGGTCTACTCTGGTGCTGGGGAGTTTGTGGTTGGGGGAGCTTGGTGCCCAGGGGTCTGCGATGGGGGGTCCGGAAGGCAGCACTGGGGTCCTGCCCCAGGGCTCAGAGGAAGAAAGAGTGGGAAGCAGATCCCAAGGCTGGCTTCGGGAAAGGGCATTTCCAGCGGGAGCTGGAGACCAGGGGTCTGCAGAAGGCCCCCAGGAGGAGCCGCTCGGCTCTGTGTTCGGCCTGAGACCTGGAAAGGAGAGGGAGATGACACACACATTATCGCAACACTCCCCCACCCTTTGTCCAGGTTCCTTCCCAGCTGCCCAGCCCAGGTTGGGTGGTGTGGTACCCACTTCACCAGTGGGATGGTGACTTGGGAGCAAGCAATGCGTTCAAGCCCATGTTCAAGCGCAAGAGCCTGGATCCCCAAACCTGGGAATATCAGTCTAGTCAGGGCTTGGCTAACAGTGGGGGCAACCAGGCCTTCCGCTAAGCCTCCCTCCCATGAGCTAAGATCTAAGATCTAGCCCCAACCAGAGGCAGTGTGTCGATTCTCAGTCCTGGAGAGGAGGTGTCTTGCCAGCAAGTGGCTGGAAAGGAAGGGAGTGCTTAGGGGCCAGTCTGGCAGCCTCTTGAAGCCCTGCATGCCCACCTGGGATGTCCCATGGGTCAGCAGAGCAGTGTGTGGAAGGCAGGGCCGGGGCAGGTGCGAAGATGTCAGCCAAGTCCAGGATGGAGGACTGTGGAGGGGAGAGGCAGCCATGGCTCAGAAGTGGGTGGGGCCCAGAGGGAGGGGAGGCCTGACCTGCAGCCAGAAGCCAACTCATTCCCCTCCTCTCTTCATTCCACAAACATCTTTTAATGACCCCTCACCTCTGACCAGCACTTCCCATTTATAAAACATTTCCTCATCCACTAAATGCCCCATTTCATAACATCCCTGTGAGGTAGGTAATGTACCTATTTTACAGATGAACCAACTAGTTGAAGCTCAGAGAGCAGTGGTGATTTGCCTGAAGTTACATAGTCAAGGAGAGGCAGAGCTGGGAAAAATCCCAGGCCAACAGAAAGGGGTGGTCAAGACAGACGGACTTTTCTTTTTTTCAATGCCTCTACTTCCCTAGTTCAGTAACAAGAGAAACAGGTCACCACAGACAGGGAGAAGGAGAGAGAAGAACTCCAGGGACAGCAGAGACAGCACGGAAGGCTATCTTGTTTTCACTGGCCACCTGCTCCCCTTCCCAGGGAACTCGAGATAGCTTCAGTACCATGTGCTTCTGCCGGCCCATAGGACAGCCCCGCCTTAGCACGTGATCCTACCCATGTGAGAGCTGGAACTGTCCAAAACAACCACGGTGCAAAAAAAAAAAAAAAAAAAAGGAAACTGAGGCCAGTAATAGGTTCCAAGTCAGTAGGTGGCTGGAGGCCAAGGGAAGTCTCCGTCATGACTCTGATAGGCCAGTTCACTTCAGCTCAGTCCCCAGGCCTTGCTGTGCTCCACCACCACCTTCATTTCTTATTTAGAGCTTGCAGCGAGCTCTGCCCTGCACACTGCAGATGCCAACTCAGTTATGCCCAGTCCCGGTCAGCCCGCACTCCCAAGTCCACCCTCTACCTGACTAGTTTTCAGCTTCTCCTCCTCCTTTCTCTCTTCTCTCCCAGGCTCTCTGTCCCGTCGGTGTCGGCCAGCAGGTTCTGCACCATTGGCCACTGGAGAATCATCGCCCTTCCAGGATCTCACCCCCTGCAGAAGGACAGGTAGGGCATGAGCAGGTGACAGGGGTCAGCAGAGAGGAGGTGGGCGGCACCCAGGTTAGCGTAGCAGAGAAGCCGATTAGTGCCCCCTTGAACTGCCACCAATGCTGTCACCAGCTCCAAATCACGGTCAGCACCAGGTCAGCCCAGGTGGCTCTGCCCCTGTTCTACCTTCTCATGCTCCTGCCGGCTCAGGCTCAGAGCCAGCTGCAGCTGCAGGTCCTCGTCCCTGTGGGAAGCTGGGGGGACTGGCTGTGAGGGAGGAAGAGAGGAGTGAACTTGGCCCAGTGATCCCATCCGAGGGCTAGAGGGCCAGCCCTGCCCAGGCATGGTGATGGAGAGAGAGATGCCCCTGGCTCAAGGGGGTTTTGAAAGGGTGGCTCTCCCTGCCTGGGTCTGAGATGCAGCTTCAGATTCCGAAGTGGAGGTTGGTGAGTGCCAAATCCTGTCCTTCCTCCATAGGGCCTTTGTGCAGTCTCAGGCCCCACCTATCTTTTTCTTCTGGGTACCCTGAGAACTTCCCTAGCCCATCCATGTAAGAGGCATAAATGTTTTCAGCCTGGTCTGTCTGGATCCGTAGAGGTAATGGAAAAGATGATGAGGTATCAGAGGTGTCATCCCTGTCCTCCCAAAGGACAGCTGGTGAGAGGGAGCAACAGTCCCAGTGTTTGCTCAGAATGTGTTACCAACCCACACCTCTCCCTAACCACAAGGTAGAAAGCCCATAAGATATACCATAGACCTCAACTACACACTGCACTTTCTGGGTCCTGCCTGAGAACACCAAAATTGGAGTTCACGACTGGGACAGACTGGGAACACTGGCAGGCCCTAGAGTGGGTGTCCAGGTCCAGGGTGGGGTTCCCTAAGTGGGGGTTACTGAGCACCCTTTCCTTCCTCCCTAGGCACCCCATGGAGTCTCAGGTCTCACCTTCTCTGCCTCCTCCCGGCTCATGGCCAAGGCCAGCTGCAGCTGCAGCTCTTCTTCTCCGGATGTCTGGGGTCGTGCCTGTTCCAGGTCTGAGGCATATCGCGGGGATGAAGACGCAGCTGCAACAAGAGTGGCTTCCATGAACACACCAGTACCCACCGTCCCCACGCTCCTCTGCCTGCCAGGAAGCTGGGGCTCGCCAAGACTGAGCCAAGGGAGAGACTGGCTTTCCAGGCACAAGTGAGCCGGGCACAACACTAGACAAAACCCTTTGTGGCTTTTCCACTGCACTGCTAGGGCAGGTGCCAGGGCAAGCAGTAGACAGACCAGGGGGTTACCTGGCCTTGGACCTAGGTCAGTTAGCGCAGGTCCCTGACTTCAGCTCTTGAAGTGTCCCAACAGGACTCTAGCCTGCCTGGGGCCACGGGGATCAAGAGGAAGGGATCTGCCAATCAAACAAAATCACAGCCTCAAAGCCCCAAGCAGGCCAGCATGGGCTTTATGGAAGGAGGGCCATTCTGTTCCTCAGATCACAAAGGCCCCTACTCTGGGAAGCCTTCGGGAAGAAGTTTCAACGTCAGCCACCCTTGTTTTCAAGGACAATACTCTTGAGTGGCGAGGCATTGAAGAATGTCAGGTGTCTGGAGGAAGAGGGTCAAGGGCATTCTTGGGCCTTCTCTCCTTCAGTTCTCAGATCAAACAATAGAGGGAGGTAAGTACACCTGTTTTACAAAGAGCTGGTTGCCGGAGCCACCAGGCTTGGAAGGAACAGAATGAATGGTATGCAACTCCAGAGCCTGCATTTCAACCTCCGTGCCACCCTCTCAACAGCTAACTAATAACAAGGGTAAGCAGTTGCTAGCATCATTATTTCATCCGAACTGCTGAGCACCTACTATGTGCTTTTCTCGTTACATTCTTTATCTGGATGGATCCTCCCAGCCTCCTTTTGAGGTAGGAACTATCTGTCCTTTGTGCTCCTGACCGCAGAGCCAGGACTGTGGCTGGCCTAACCATCACCACCCTCTCCAGACACACCGTTAGGGCCTACTCACAGGTGTAGGAGGAGGGAGAACCCCTCGATCTGCGGTTGAAGCCCAGCTGCCCGCTGCCAATGCCCATGCCTTCCAGGGCCATTCGCTCTTTGGTCTTGAGGGCATGGGTCCGCTCTTGCCGCAGGCGCTCCTCGTCCTTGAGAAGGGCCATCACCTGTTTGACCTTCTCACGAACATTGACGCCTTGGTCCTTGCCATCGCGATCAATATACTGGAAGTCCTTGAGAGTCTGGATGGTGTAGAGGTTCTCACGGCACTGGTGGGCCACGCGCTCCGAGCCCGTCTTGAGCAGGTAGTCCAACAGCGTCAGGGCCTTGTACACATGTCGCCAGTTCTTACCGCTGTCATTGAGCCTCCGCCACAGCATACCCATAACCTCGGCAAAGGCCACTGTGTTGAAGGTCAGGTCAGCAATCTCTGACATGAGTGAACTGGGTGGGCCCCAGGGGTCATTGCTGGTGGCCTCACGCACCTTGATCTCAGCCTCAGAGTAGTTGTGAACAATGTTCTTCACCTGGCGTCGGAGCGCAGAGGTTGTCATGTTTGGGGACTTGGAGGTGGGCGGCCCCCGCCCCCGCCGGAGGTGGAGGGCCGAAGGCCACCGTCTTGAGGTCACGGTCTCGACGGATGGGCCGCCTTGCTTTCAGCAGGGCGGCTGTGTCCTCGGGTTCCACATGGGGCTGAGAAAAAGAGGATCTGGAACTCAGCATCTGTGACTTCCTTACAGTTCATTCACTCACCAACTATGGCACGGTCAGAGTGTCCCCGATGCCAGGAACAGCTTTCAGCCAACACTTCCTTCCATTCTTTTCATTGCACTCACTCTTCAATGGACACTGTTTGCCCATCTATACAGCTGCCAGACCAACATGCTGAAATCCCTATCTCTAGTCACATATGGGGACAGTGGGACTCAGAGAATCAGTCAGTGACAGCTGTGAGATCACAGAGCTGCTTCGTGGGGGCGCATTCCTCCCTCCACCTGAATGTGTGGCTTCAAGGATCACAAAGTGACCACCAGGAATGTCACTCTCCCGCCTCACTCATGCTTGTCTCCTCCTCCATTTGTGCTGCAGCCTTTCCAGTTTAACTCTTCATTCTTTATTCTCAAATGGCCTTTTTTCTTTCAGAATTTCATCCATTCAACACCTATTTCCTGAAGGGGTGGTCCCTATTCCGAGCCCCGAAGTATGCTTGTAGAACACCCACATCCAAGTGAAAGGACACAGACGCTCAAGGGTGACAAAGGCACAAGCAAGGAAAATAATGGGAGGCCTCCTGAAGGAGGTATGGCTGAGCTGGAGCCACAACAGAAAGGTTGAAAAGATGGAGGAAAGCAGAAAAGTGAGGAATCTGTTAGCCTGACTAAACAACCTCTCTAGAGGAAAGAGCATGCTGGGAAGGTTGCTTCTCTCCAGAGCCCCAGCCACCACCTGCTGGCCTCCGCCATACACACATACATACATACACACACACACACACACACACACACACACACACACTCCTGTGACCCACCTACGTCACAGGGCATGTAGGTGGCAGGGCTGAGACTGACATGTAGGTGTCCTTGAGACTAATTCAATGCTCATTGTCACCTAGTTAATCTAATTACTTGTCTCAGAACCACCTTTTCAGGCATAATGGAAGTTCCCTGAGGGCAGGGGCACTCTAAGCAAACCACCAAGGTCTTAGGCACACAGAAGACCTCTGATGGCCTAATAGAGGCCAACTTAGAGGAAGAATCAGACACACATTTCCCACAGCCTCAGGAGGTAGAGAAGAGCCCCCCCCCCCCCCCAAGGCCTTGTCAAAAACCCAAAGTGGGAGCCTTTTGCCATCACCATGACACTAATACAGTTTTACACAGACACACAGAAGGTGGACTGGCAAAGACTCTACTTTCCCCATGACCTCCCCGCCTCCTGCCAGCCACAGAGATCACACCCCTCCCCAGATCAGCCTCCATCCCCTACCCTGCTGTGCCTCAGCTGTCCCAGCCTCCTGAGGGGTATGGAGGGCGGTATAGGAAGTTTGTCCTTCCAGCACCAGCAGTTTAGAGTACCCACAGGTCTTGGCAGGTCCCAATCTTCAGCTAAACGATGGGATTGCGTGCACTCTCTCTCTCTCTCTCTCTCTCTCTCTCACACACACACACACACACACACACACACACACACACACACCACAGGAGGGGTCACGGTGCTGCCTACCTTACTGTCTTTCCGTCCAGCTGGCCTTCTGTGGGAATGCCACAGCCACAACTTGTTAAACTCCTGCCCTCCCCCTCGGTAGTGACTCAGGCTGGTGTTCACCTCCCCAGTGGGAGGGCAGGCGGGCTGGCAGTGGCAGAGTCAAGATGGGGAATAATTGTGCACCCAAGCCCGCCCTAGTGTGCTTGCTCCTCCCTGCTGGCCTCTGGAATTGGCAGAACCAGTCAGATCAGACATCCTGACTCCACCAGAGCCCTACCTAGGCCTGGCTTCCCAAGCCTTCCTACTTTGCCAGGGTGGATACAACCAGCTTCCATGAAAAGGGGCCCTCTGTGTAGGATCCATGGCCCTACCTGGATTTTTCTCCTGGGAGCACGGAGGACATTGCTTGCACACCTTTGCTGGAGCTGGGGTTGGGGTTGGGGTGAGATCAGAAATACAAAGAGATGCCTGAACCCCCATCCTAGGCATTTTTAACCCAGTCAGGACACAGTAAGGAGGAAGAGGGCCAGCGTGAGGTCCCAGAGCACGCACGAAGCTGAGAGGAAAGGAAGGCGGGAGGGGCAGCTGGGAGCCCAGCCAGCAGTGTTACAAGCAGAAGGTTTTATTGAACACAATATGCCCAGGAATAAAAGAGAGTGAAACACAAACCCAGCTACCGGTAAGGCAGTGCGGCAGCGGCAGCCCCGGGCAGCCGGTATGGAATTACCGCAGTGACCTTGAGCCAGACCCTGCCAGGTGGAGGGAAGGACACTGAGAAGCCGGGACCTGGGGAGGCCACTTCAGAGGTGGAAAGAAGGCAGGAGGGCACTGACAGAGAGGTGCACAGGCTTGGTCTGGAAGTGGAGGCTTGGAGTATAGACTCCCTCCTACACACAGGTTTCTCAAGGAGAATTGGAGGGGTGGGATTTCTCAGGACACAGGTCCGGAAGGGTGCCAGAAGTCGGGGGATGGAGAGATTCCTAAAAGTCAGCGCTGAGGAAGCAGATGGCATCCCCAGGGTGGAGGTTCAGAGAGATGGAAAGAGCCAATCATATGCACGAATCTGCCAAAGTATGTGTGTGTCCTACCAGCCAGCACCCCTCCCCATCTTCTGTCCCCACCAGGTCCAGAGTGAGCACTGTGGGAGTGGCAGTGTCCCTCCTGCTGCTACAGGGGCGGGGGACTAGATATTAGCTAGCCCTAGGCTCTCTGGCTTCATCAGACCTGCCTTGGCTGTGTCCTGGGGAGCACTGGAGTGGATTAAAGGGTCATCCCGAGGTTAAAGGTGCAAATAGAGATAGGCCAGGATCTGAGAGGACCACCACCAGGAATCTCCAGATGGCCCTGCGTCCATTTTCTGGAGGTAACAGGAGGGTAGAGAGGGTTGCAGGTAAGAAGCCTCCAGGTCCTCCACATCCCTGCCTTGCCCCCTCTCTCTACAGGCTGGGGAAGAGACTAAAGTCCTGAGCCCACTCTAGCCCCCGCCTTCATGCAGGGCGCCACCGCGGCGGCGCCCGAGGGAGCTTACCTCCAGTATGGGCTCCCTCGCCCCAGCCCCAGCAGTCTCTGCAGTGACCCTCTGACTTGTAGGGGATGGCACAGCTTCAGGAGCAGCTCCAGAGCCATCCACCATAGACCCTGGTCGCGGGAGCCCCACCCTCGACTGAGAGGCAGAAAGCCCTCTAAAGGACCGCAGGGTCTCCCAGCGGGCTGCAGCTCAGCCTCAGGCGGCTGCCTCCTCAACTCCTGCCGACTAGCACACTGGGGAGGAAAGTTGTTCAGCTGGCCAGGCAGGTCTGCCTCAGCAGTAACAGGACACAGGATGACGGGCGGGCGGGGGCGTGTTTAACCCTTTCCTGCTGTCTGCCGGGCGGTGCCTTCAGAGGAGGAGGCCAGCCTGTTTGTCGACCTGTGACCCCAGGGGTACAGAGGTGGAGCTGATCCACTTCCACCCTGCGGTGAATTAACCTTTCTACTTCCTCCTCAGCTGGAAGAGGGTGTGGAGGCAATCCCAATACCCTCCACCATGCCCTGCTCCTCCTAGCCAGGACAACGGGGCAGCAGAAGGCCCAACATTCCCTGGGGCTGATCCAAACTAGCTTCCCCCAAGCCACCGCAAAGGGCTCAGCCTCCCCAAATCTGGGAGGGCCGAGGCTGCTCCGAACCTGCTTCCACATCTCACCTGCAGAGTGTCGAAGGCTCGTGCAGTCAATAGAAGTCAGAAGATTTCCAGAGGCCTCTGGCAATGCTTCCAAGCTACCTGCTGCCCCTAACCCCCCATTGCTCCTGGAGACCCCCAGCCTACCAGCTGTCTGCAGTTATTACAACACAAACCACCAGGGTGATCTGAGCAGGCCTTGCCTTTTTTCCCTGTTACCCTTCACCCATTTCACAGTCCCACATTCCTCTGTTCCAGGAAGGAGTGGGAATTCTCAAAGCTGTTTTGTTGTTTCGCTTGAGACACTGTTACCACCCGCCCCCCCCCCCCATGTTGCCCAGGCTGGCCTCATGTAACTCTGGTTGATTTTGAATTCACAACCTTAGTGCTTCAGTGCCGCACTTACATCACAAGATTCTTTGCCACACAGCAGAAAAAAAAAAAAAAAAAGGTTCAGGGCCGGATGAATTGACTGGAGCAAGGGCTAAGGCAGACTAGAGCCACCAACACTAGCCTCTGGCTTAGGACAAGGGTGCTGAAAAGGGAATGGATGGGGAGAGGAAAATCTGCACTGGTTAAGAGGTTCTTGGATTGTTGTATTTTTTTTTCCTTCTGACCGGGAGTAGGTGTGGGCTCAGCCCCAATTCCTCCAGGGTTTAAGAAGCTTGGCAAGGGTCATCCCAAAGGATGAGGAGAGCTGAAGTAGAAGATCTCAAAAAAGCCAGGTCCCATCAGTTCTGCTTCTCTCCCTAGTCTCTCACTTGAGTTAGCTTCAGCAAGCATGACCCTCAAGGCGTGGGCCTGAGGCAGGGAACCGCTGCAAAGGCAATCTGCCCGGTCACCTAATTTCATTCCTCACCCTGCTGCCCACTTGCTCTTCTGCTTGTCCTTTGCACATCGCCTCCCTACATGTGGTTGGCTCTGAGAACCATACATGTGGGCAGGTGGGATACAGGAAAACCCAGGCCATCACCTTACACCCTTGAGAACCAGAGGCACAACCGGAGTGGTAGGAACCCAAAGATTCTTTATTGATTTTTTTTTTCTAACCATTTCCCCAGGAGGCAGCTGGAGCCCGAGAATCAGCTACAAAAATGCAGGGGCTCTTCAGCATTCTTTACGGGGCCAAGCTCGTCAGCCAGGACCATCATGTTGGTCACCAGGTTGTCCAGTAACTCATAGACCTGGAAGAATGGGACAGACATCAAATAGCAGGGTTCGCTCTGCAGCAGGCACCAATGTATTAGAGCCCTGCTAAAAAAAGAAAAGGGGGGCGCCAAAGCTGTACAGTTGTGATTGTTTTTCAGAGCTGGAGTGGGCCTGGGCTCAGTCCCAGTTGTTGGTTTCTCTGGAAGCCAGCTCTCTTTCCTGTAAGATCGTAGATCAACATACCGAAGCTTCCAAGACTGAGCCCTCTACTGCACCTGGACCACACAGCCTAGGAAAATTGGCTCTTAGTGTCATAGAGTCAGTGAAAGGCTTATACCTGAGTCCCCAGAGTCCTATAATTGCTTTCTAAGACCCCATCAGCCATCAGAAAGCTCGGTGATGTCACCGGAAGCAGCAGAACAGAATTTGTGGTCAAATGAGACCTTGGGGAGAGAGGTACCACAATACACAGTAATGTAAGACCAGATCCACAAATGCCTTATCAGTGAAAGACGAAACATCCCTGTTAGGTACGCTGACATTCTGAGCATGGTTTGTAGCCCTCCCTGACAACTCAAAATCCATGGTTTAAAAAAAAAAAAAAAAAAAAAAAGACCTGTGGGCGTCTCTATTTAGGCCCTGTTGCTTAAGACCAGATCACGATGAAGTCTCTGCAAGCAGACGAAAGCTACACTTGGTGTCCTTTGAATGTACACTGGCCCCCTTCCAATGGACTCCTTTTAAAATTAATACGTTGCTCGTTTTAAAATCTACTTCCAGAGCGAGCGTTAAGAAGTCTGAGGGCCTTTCAGGGGTGTTTGACTCATGAGGTCCCACCCTCACAGAGCAGTTAATATCTTCACAGCCAACCGTGAGTCCCAGTGGTGGTCAGAAATCAAGACTCTCGCTTTCATGCACCTTCTCCACATGCTCACTTGCCCTTCTGCATTTTTCCACCTCCCTCCCCAAGCTCTCATTTGACTGCAAGTTCTGTTTGCTGCTTCTGGTGACATCACCGAGCTTCCTGATGGCTGACAGGGTCTAGAAAGCAACAGAAAGAGGACCAAGACAATCCCATATGGTGTTCTCCCAAGAAATGCATCTGCCCGTGTGTACCTGAGGGGAGGTGCAAGCAGCTTTCAAAAGGGAAGGACTTTGCTTCCCCCCCCACCCCCCCGTTCTCTTCCCAGGAGTCTGTCTTTCAAAAGAAAGCTAGAGTACCTAAGTCAGACCATATCACTTTCAGTGCAGAATTCTACATGACTTCTGGGGTCACTCAGAGTAAACTCCAAGGCCTCACACCGGCCAGGAAAGGTCCCTCTGACAACCCAACCTGTCTACTACTTCTTTTTCTTGTCACTCTGCTGGCCCACTCACTCCTCTGCCTCAGCTGCTGCCTCCTCTGCTTAAGGAGCCCTTCCTTGGCCAACCTTAATCTTTCTCTTTCTTCTTTCTTTCTTCTTTCTTTCTCCCTTTCTTTCTTTCTCTCTCTCTCTCTCTCTTTTTCTTTCTCTCTCTCTCTTTTTCTTTCTTCTTTCTTTCCTTTTCCTTCCTTCCTTCCTTCCTTTCTTTCTTTCTTTCTTTCTCTTTCTTTCTTTCTTTCTTTCTCTCTCTCTCTCTCTCTCTCCTTCCTTCTTTCTTTCTTTCTTTCTTTCTTTCTTTCTTTCTTTCTTTCTTTCTTTCTTTCTTTCTTTCTTTCTTTCTTTCTTTCTTTCCTCTCTCTCTCTCTCTCTCGGTAAAAGCAGGTCTTCGGGGACTGAAGAGATGGCTCAGAGGTTAGGAGCGCTAGCTCCTCTTCCAGAGGTCCTGGGTTCAATTCCCAGCAACCACATGGTGGCTCACAACCATCTATACAGGGATCTGATGCCCTCTTCTGGCATACAGGTGTACTTGCACTCTTTTACATTAGATAGATAGATAGATAGATAGATAGATAGATAGATAGATAGATAGATAGATAGATAGATAGATAGATAGATAGACAGATCTTTAAAAAAAAAGGAGGTCTTCTTCAGGCAGAATATAGGGGAATGAATGATTGAATGATGCAAGTGTGAGGGTTGGGAGGTGTGGCTGCCCCCTCCTCCTTTCACCTCAGCGTGTAACCTCTGTGTATATTTCTCCATGACCAGGGGGTCTATGGGCTCCTGTGAAGGGGTCATGCTGTCATGGGTAGGATCTTCTGAGGGGAGCCTGTCCCGGCTTGTAGACTTCACCACTTTCTTGTCATCCTTTGTCTTCTGTTTCTTGCTATTCAGGCGATCCTGTTTGGCAAAATGGAGACGCACATGACCTCAATAGCTACGGAGAAAGCTCCCAAGAGTGCTTCTTGGGAGAGCTGTGCATTGTGCTGGAGCAACCACCTCCCATAGCCCCTCGGTTCCTTTCCCAGCCCTATCCAGCAAGGGTGCATATCACACCCCCTCAAACCTCTCTGGTTGGTGTCTTGGCTCCCCGTTTGTCCTCTTTGTCTTTGATACCCAGTTGTTTCCTTTCCTGGGCGGCTCCTTTCCGCTCCTCCTTCCCAACTTTCCCGACTGCCACCTTCACTTCCATGACTGTAGAGGATTTTTGACCTAAGAAAGGGAAAGTAGGAAACATACAGAAGTCCACCCTCTGCCCCTATGGTCTGGCCTACACCACAGGCCTATGTAAAGGTAAGATGGGAGATGAGGAAAACCCCATTGTTCTCAGCAGCTTTAAGGGAATCTCTGCAGGGGTTCTCAGAGAACAGAGAAAGCTGAGGAAGGGGAAGAGGAGGAGGAGGACTTTCTTGAGCCCCTCTTGACTATGGAACAGGACTATGCAACAAGGGTAAGAGACACATCACTTCCGGCTCCACCATATTTCAAGTCTCTGGGACTCAACATGCCGACCAAATGAACTGCACCAAGGTCGAAGCTGAGTCTCCAGCCCTGGCAGCATACAGTGGATAAGCCCCACCACCATGGGCTCAGTCAAGAATCTACCAGAAAGGGACAAACAGACAAGGCATTACTACCATTAGGGTTAGAGGACAGGGGGAGGCTACACACAGGTGCTACTTCACAATATCTGACCTTGCTCTTCTGGAACATACAAATAAACCGTCTCCTTCTCAGGCAAACCCAGGAGAGCCCTCAGCCACAGGGACTGGCTTACCAGGCTGTCAATCACATCTCGCCACAGCTGCAAACTAGAGGAAGAGGCAGGTTGGAGAAAAGCCATCACTCCTCATCATACCTCGAACCTTCAGAGGCTCGGGTGCCTCCCCTTTAAAAAGACTCTAGTGGCAGGAACTACCATGAAAATGTCCTGTTGCTAGCAGCCAGTCCTCCCTGGCACTAGGCGAGTGTTCCCATTGGAATCTGGCTTCCCTGTGGCAGCAACCAAGAGATAAGATCTAGGCCTAGGGTATAGAGGCCCGAATGAACTCAGTCTTGCTTCAGAGTCTAAATTCCAGCTTGGAGTGATGGCTAGGCTTGGGCCCAGCTCCCTAAGAAAGAACTGAGCCTTGTACAAGATTCCCAGCATGAGGCTCCTGAGACTGTGTCCCAGGCCTTGCCAAAGACTTATCCACACAAATCCCAAACAGGCTGACAACAGAGAAGTGAAGCTTTTGTGTGTGTGTGTGTGTGTGTGTGTGTGTGTGTGTGTGTCTCCCTCTTTCCTCAAGCATTCTCTGCTCCTCCTGCCCCAGTTCTTTTGCTCATTGAGAAGGAACAAGACAAGGGGAAGGTGTGGAGGGAGGCAAACTATTTGTTCTTTTGTGGCCCGTTTCCTTGAGAAGCCAGCGGTGGCTCTGGGGCTGCTATAGCGGGTTCCAGAGTGTGAGATGTCTGCAGCCTTTCTCAGCATCCTGAGCTCAAGGGGGACATAGCCTCATGGAACCCAGGTCCCCCTCCCACTCCCAGGCCAGGTGGGTGGTCTCCTGGAGGGTACCTACCACAGCTGGTGCAGAAGGTCCGACTGCAGCGGCTTCTGTTTCTGGCACAGCTCCACAGCTGCCTTGTTGAGCTGGATAAGGGCACCCTCTCTCTGTGGCTCCTCAGGGAAGGTCAGCACTGCCTAGTTAGGGTCATGGACATCATGGGCAACTCGTTCTGCACCAGAACTCCAAGGGTCCCTGTGTTCTCCAGCAATGGGCCTGGGTCCATGGCCCAGGGCAATGGAAACTGGAAACAATGGAGTCTACAGAAGATGCCTTCTATGGGAGCCTGTGACACCCCCCCTCAGAAATCTATTCCCATGAACCTCGTTCATTAAGGTTTCCACAGAAGAAGCCCCTTGTTTAAAAAAAAAAAGTTTTGACTCAGGAGACTGCTTTTTATGGGCCTTCCTGGTTCATCTATATACCCATGGGAAAAGGGGAGAGAGTTGCTGGAACCTCCCCGACTGGGTCCAGATGGGAGCAGCGTACCCAGGGACATTCTCTAGCAACCCCTTCAGAGTCTCAGGGGCACCTTTCTGAAATCCTCCAGGCAGAGGTTCCATTTAGACGGGAGAAGGTGTTCCAGCTCCCAGGGGCTCCTGGTACTCTCCCTGTCAGGACCCTCCTCCACCAGAATCTCCTCCATGATGCTCTTCCGTGGCATTGTCTTGGTGACTATACCAGTCTTGTGAGGCAGGAAGGTATCTCGGGGATCCTTGATGGTGACCACCCCGTGACGAGGTGGCACTTGTGGGTAGTCCAAGACCGGAGACTGGCTGCTCATCGGGTGACTGGGGTCTTCCAGAGTCTTCTCGACAAACACTAAGGGCACTCGGCCAACCCGGGATTTGTGGGTGACGACTTCCTCCTGTTTCGGCTTGGGCGCCATGTACTGGTTCCACAGCTGGTGCAAGTTTTGCACCACTTGATGCTGATAATGCAACTGCAGTCAAGAGGAGGGAGGACAAATGAGAGGGAGCCTGGCTGAGGCACCCCAAAACTCACACCAAGAGTCACTATGATTTCTCCCATTGCTTTGAGGACACTAACTAAGACGCAGAGAAAAGGAAGCCAGCTGAGCTCAGAAGAACTACTTCCTCTTCGACCTGCATCTCTAATCTAAAGCTGTGTGTGTGTGTGTGTGTGTGTGTGCTCTTTCGCTCGCCAGCGTTCCAATAAAGACTAGGTTAAATGAAGAAGTATGCGACACTCTGGTCCCACTAAGCATCTACCCACTTATGAACTGTCTTGGGTACGTTCCTTCGCTTCCCTGGGCCTCCATTTCCTGTATTTACATCCCATAAGGATGTCAGTCACACTCAGTATCTCTCAGGATTGCTGTGAGGAGGTGAATTTCTCCAGGAAGATGCTCGGCACAGGCTCCAGTACATGGAAGGGTTTGCTACTACAGTCAGAATGCATAGGGCCAACCTGTACCTGAGGATTCCTGTACCGGAACAGGTCTTCCTCAGTGAGATAGGCGTCCACGGGGGTCGGTATGCGCTCTGGAGTCGAGACGCCCCTCAGCAGCTCTTGTAGCACGCTCTGTGCCACGGAGATTGCCTCGTGGGCAGCCAGCTTATTCTGGGGAAAGGAAAGACGGCACAAGATGGCAGCCTAGGCTCTCAAGTGCCCATAAACCCTCAAGGAGAGAGAACACTCTTGAGTAAGGTCTGGGTTCCTGCCTGGATGCCCGTCCCTCTGGCTTACACAGACACCTATTATTTCAAGACTCATACATCTCCAGGTCTCTCCAGACATCCGTGTTCCCCCTCAAAAAGGTAAAAGCATCCAGCAGGGGCCAGGCCTGGAGGAGAGCCACTTCTGCACAAGATTTGGACCTTCCAATACTTTCCAATATTCTGGGAGAAGGACTAGAGACAGAGTGCACAGTCTGGGCACCGTCAAGAACGGTAGTGAACTTTTCTGATAGCCTGGCTCCCCAGCGAGTGCCACAGAAGCCCAGCAGAAGGGCATCTCTCTCTACACAGATCCTAGAGTCAGCAAACGCGGTGAACATCTTTACCAAAGTTGCACGGGCCAAGCCCCAGCCTGAGGCAGGCAGTCGTGCGTAGGGCAACACATAAAAGCCCAGCGAAGCGTGGCACGAGAGAGCCACCCTGAACAGCAGCTCCCAGCTCTCATCTCGCACTCCTCCAGGAGGTTGCTTATGGGGAAGGGCACTGAGGCTGGTCATTTAAACCACTGCCTCTGCTCTTGAAACCTTGTCAGTTCAGTCCCACGCCACTGTGCGGTAGCAGACAGCAGTGAACAGAATACAGCCCCCACTGTAAAATCTCCCCTTTCTACTCGGGACTCATAGCCCCAGCACGAAAGCTCCTACTTGGGACTCAGTAGGTACCCATGGAGTCTTTCTCTCAGGGTTTCATTTCATTCCCTTCTAACTCAGGGCCCCAAGGTAGGGAGGGGTCACCTGCTGTCCTGTCCTAGCCTGCCCTCCCATCTTCTACATCATAAAGGCCTGGGTAGTATTTGCTAAGCAAGAGAAGCCGTCTGTTTGTGTGGTAAGAAAAAGTCACCTCTCAAGACAAGGAAAACAGAGATCCCTGGAGGCCCCCAGGGGAACCCATGGGCTGTCCCTGTGGCTGAGGTTCTAAGTCCCTTACCTCCAGCAACTTCCTCTCCTCCATGTAAAGGTCCTGGGTCAGTGAGATGGCATGGAGGGTCACCTGAAGGGCAGCACCTCCCAGGAGGATAGGGTGGGTCCCAAACTCCCAAGATTCTCTGAAGATGCCAGCATTCAGAGACTTGAAGAAGAAGGTAAACTTTTTGGTTTCCCCAGGCAGAATCACACCTGGGAGAGACAGAGGCAGAGGCCACAGTGAAGGGGGAGCTGGCCGAGCCGCCAGTTTGCATGTAGAGAGCACATCCGGCGACCAGCCATCCTGGTTTCTCAGGACCATAAGATTTCCAGGAAGATGCTCGGCACAGGCTCCAGTACATGGAAGGGTTTGCTACTACAGTCAGAATGCATAGGGCCAACCTGTACCTGAGGATTCCTGTACCGGAACAAGTCCTCCTCAGTGAGATAGGCGTCCTTTCTCTACTTGGTCTACTCCACTACTAGGGGAGGTCCTCCTCTCCTTCTTTCTGATCTTAGTCTATCAGTTCTCATCAGAAGTGGCTGCATTGTCAGGGTTCTAGGTCATCTCCACGGATAGTCCTTGGTTGGACTGCCCGGGCTTCGAACACGCCAGTCAATCTGGGAACAGCTGGTCATTCTCACCCCAGATCTATGTTCCCCGATGGTGGCTCCCTCTCAGCATTCTCAAGAGTCTCCTAGTTTTCTCAGGAGACTAGTAAACCACACCCTCCATGAGGAGGGGATAGGCCATTAGCTACTAACTAAACACCCAGGGCATCCTAGTCATGAAGGCAAATGGGTACCACCTTGGGGTACCTTCCCGGTTGTTGAAGTAGAACCGCTGTGTCCTGTTTCTCTTTAGGTCTTGGAAAAAATCCTGCTGGGGCCGCCGTCGCCAGTCATACCAAATGGCCACAGTGCCATTGTTGACCACAGTCAGTTCTGAAGAGGTTTTTTCCCCTTCGAGGGTTTCAAATGTCAGGCGGACACCAATTCCAATGTTTTTCTGCCGGAGAGAGAGGGGGCATAAGCAGTGTCTTGGCTAGAGGTCTTGCCCTGGGGAGACCAGCTCATCCCCCATTTCCTATGACTTCTCTGAAAGTCCACTGGTCCCCTGGTCCTGGTCACCTTGAGTGGTGTCAGACCCTTCAGCTAATTATCACCAATACTAAGAAGAGAAATATTTCACATCCGGTATTCGCTTCTGTGCCTTAGCATCTGAAGAATGTTCTAGAACTGGAGCGATGACTCAGAGGTTAATTTGCAAGCCCGAAGACTGGAGATCTGATCTCCAGACGGCAGTTGAGTGAGACAGCCTGCCTGTAACCCCAGCACACATGAGGTGGAGACACAATCCCCAGAGCAAGCTAGCTAGCCAGGCTCGCCCAAATATATTAGCTCTAGGTTCAGCGAAAGACCCTACTCAGGAGGAAAGGGAGAGGAAGAAGACAGCCTAGGTCAGCCTCAGGCCTACACACACAGGTTCACAAATATGTGCCCACACATATTTGGATTCACCCATGTATGGGCCTGTATACATATTACATACACATACATGTATGTGTGTGTGTGTGTGTGTGTGTGTGTGTGTGTGTGTGTGTGTGTGTGTGTGT